TACGAATCCGCTCTATAGTCACTTTTTGACGTCGTTTTGATGACTGGAATAATGAGAGTCCATTGTATATAATGATTTACCTGTAGAGATGATCTCCATACTGTGTAAATATATCAATCAAACCATCTGAATAGTGCTGGCTCTTAGCAAGACTGACAACGAAAACAAACTTGAGATAAAGCAACTAAACTAGGGATAAAAAAAGAAAATGTGGAATGGAATCAAGGACAGCAGGAACGGAAAATTAGAATAAAGAAATGAGATGCATGCTGACGGTGGATAACATAATATATTTAGTACTCAGAAAGATTTTCTACACAGACTTACTAATATTGTTTTTAATAAAGAATGTGGTGAAAACAGTAAGAAAAAGTTTAAGTTAAGTTCACCTTATTGCCATGCCATAAAGATTCTTCTTAAACAATATCTCTAACTTTGTTTGGGTGTCCTTTTCTTGGAGCTGGATAATCTGTTCAAAGTATTCAATAAAAGTAAATTGAAAAATCATTTGAAATTTATGGTTAAAAAAATATTTGCTTGTTCAGTTACATATCAAATAAACTAAAAAAAATTCAGAAACAAATTTTTTTGTATATTTTCTTTCTTCAAGCATTAATCCTCAGGACAAGATTACCTTATTGTCAGTAGTAACAACATAAAGATTTCCCCATTCACAGAGAACATCAAATACTTCAGAAATTGACCCAGTAAATGCTACAAACAACAAATCATAAAAKCAACAAATAGCTGACAAAGTTATAAGCAGGAAGGGAAGATATCTAGCAATGTTTGATTACCAATAAATTTGTTTTGGATATCATAGACAGTAACTATGTTGGCTGGTTTAGTCTCTGGTCTTATTCTGTAAAAAAAGGAGAATAATATTAAACATTCGGCATTTTATCTGTCAATCTTTTTTGAAATAGGTATAAAATATAATATATTCAATATTTTGATATTATAAACAAACCCTGTMGGTGGCCTTTGTAACTTGGAATTTTCCCCAACAACAACAAGGTATCCTCTCAGCCATGTTATCAACTTCTTGTCACCTAAACAATTATACAGATTGAAACCAAATTTAAAAACATTTTACTATGATTTTAGAATTATCAAAGACGAGGCAGAAATTAGACAGGCAGAGTATTTATGGRTTTACAAATAAGAATTKCAGAAGTTTAAACTGATACCTTCAAATGCAAGGCATGGTCCTCGTCCATCCGTCTGGTAAAAGTAAATTGCCTGAAATGTGATACAACATGCATCTCGGTCACTTGCCTACTGATTCCATCAATAATTCATGAATGCCAAATCTACAGATTTACTAAATCAAACTTCATAAAAAAATGTAAACTTAATATAATTATACTTTTTTATACATCAAGTAAATTACCTCATTTCTGGCAATAATAATCTGCTGTTCTTGAGAGACATCACTCAATACTGAGCAATTTTTAGCACATCCTTGAGTATCAAGAACTTCCTAAAATTAATGACAATATGTAAAGAAAACTGGAATCTATACTGTGCATGTTTGAAATTAAGACAAAACTAAGTACCAAAAAGATGCTCTATCATATGACCCGTATTTCAGCCCTACGCACGCTCTTGAAAAACCTTTGGGAAATGGTCACATGATGGGGGACGTACGCCTTTTCGCGACAGGGCTATACAAACCCGTATCTTCCCGGCTTGTAGTTCCACACACTTTTATTTTTTCACGTTATAAAAGTAAACGCTGTCATATGTTAAAATGCTTATTGACTGAGTTAGGTTGGGCTGTACGGGAAAATATTTGGCTATCGGTCATTTGTACGGACCTCGCTGCGCTTGTTCTGTATGGCATCCTTGAGTCAAATATTTTCCCGTACGGCCCTCCCACTCAGTCAATAAGTACATATAGTATTTTACATGTAACAAGGTGGGTTATTGAATTATATCAGGAGAGAAGGATGTAAATGAATTGACTTCTAGATTTGATATTAGTTTGATGCCTATAGCTCACTGGACTTCATACCTTGCGGTCTTTAGCTGATACATTATATGACAGAACTGATTCAGAAGTCACAACAAACAGAACAGTACTRGTGGCTGTTTGCTTGTATGATAAACCTACAAGAATGAGAAGGATTTGAGGAATRGAGTTGGTTTTCAGATTGCTTGCAGTCAATAATTATTTCATTCTAAATGCTCACCAGTRATTGGATGTCTGTCTTGGTGAATAATCCGTTGCTTGCTATGCCTGATGAAGAGTAAAAGGTGATGTATTATAAGACTTTTACTGGTTAGTTCTTTGACCTGTTTTCATTTTGAAAACTGATAAACTTTCCATCTTATGATCAAGTTACATGTATGTGTTTGGCAACAACAACCAGTGTTTCTATAGCAATGGAAAAAATATATAACAATGAGGTGTAGAGGTATAGAGTAATAGAGGAATAATATCCTAATATGGGACGTTTTGAGACCATTGGAACTTACTAATGTAAGCCATTTTAAAGAGTGACTTCAAATCTTTTGCAAGAAAGTGTACTCATAAAAATGATTGAGGTTACTTGATTAAACCTAAATCAATACCTATCTCTTGTGACATCTCCTCTGTAGACAACAACACTGCCATCTGCAAATCCTATCGCCATCTGAGTTAAATTCTCCAAAACAGCTATACAAGAAACCTGAATTCAAAGTAAGAAAACCACATAAAATAACATTAATGTTCTGGCAATGCCTTCCGTTAGAATAGAAATAAAGCATTTCCACACTAACAGAAACTGTTCAAAGTATTTTGATAGCAAAGACATAGCCTGCGTAGCCAGATGTTCCTAGCCGCTCTGAGAGAACTTCTGGGTTTTTTCAGCCGAAACTTTCTAAGAGCGGCTAGGAACGCCTAGCTACGCARGCTAGCAAAGACATCAATGCCATAGTAGTATTGTACCTCAACTGGTTTGTTTCCAGGAATAGCTCTCAACATCTGGCAGCAAATTGGGTTTCCAAGTTTATCCATCTGTTGAAATAAGCCATAATAATATTAAATAATCAACAAAAAACAAACATAACTTCTGTTTTTTTTTCTCAGCATGTTTTCAGGTTGGGCTTCCTGTGTCCTCCACACAGGAATCCTGACAATAGAATAGACTATGGTATTACCTTATCTAGATTCCAGACTCTCACCAGAGGATTGATCCCAACTTCATCTTCCTATATTTACATCAATATATAGATGAATATTTCAAATTATTTGTGTAACAAAAAATTATACAGTACTTAACATACTATCAAAAATAAAATATAAAATGTTGCAAAAAGGAGCAATTTGAAAACTGAACATTTCATATTATCCAGTGGAATTAAAAACTTACCCCAATAGATACCAGAATGTTATGCTGTTTCATCTGATATAAATGTGATACATTGATCTCAAAGGCTTTGAAAGAAGACAGTCTGAGATCGCGGTCGACAAAATGAATCATGCCACTCTTGTCTAAATGAAAAAAAAATCCTTTAAAGGACATAGTTGAGTGGACATGGGGATTGAGTCCTACATGTATCATGACCACCAACTGAGGTTAGAAACTCATATGCCAGGATCGGAACTTTTACAGCCGTATTTTTTTGATTTCTATACAGAATATGAGATGTCTGTTGTAAACTTTTCAGCAATTTCTATTGGCTAAGATTTCTAAATATAGCTGCCGAAGCCTTTTGCCATTTTATTTATCACCAGTAGTGAGATATGAGCTAATATCCTTATGGAAGAGTAGCCAATTAGACTATGAGTTTTCTCATATCAATTAGTCACAAATGATAGCATACAATTATGAATATAATGAATGACCAGGATAACGTTACCTCCAAAGATCATTTGCCCTCTTCCACTAGAACATGCCGTGACTTCAATACCCTAGAAAAGGATAAGTTTTATCATGAATATAGGGAATGAAGACTCAAAACTTATCCTTCAGCTTCATATATTGTACTGTATCTTGACCAGGTCAAGAAGATATCAGATTTGTACACTTGAAAAAAACAGTTGAAAATATTAATATTCAGTACTCAACTACGAATAAATACATTTTTGTTTGTAAAGGAATTTTATTTGTTTTCTGCTTACCTTCAATCTTTCATATGGCTGGTTSGTCTCSTGATCTTTCAGAAACTCTTTGTCRAAAAAGTTGAATCGCCGCCACTAAAAGTACAAAATAAAATAAACCAAGAGTTACTTTAAATATCTAACTAAAGCTCCAAGGCCATAGATGAGGAATTCTTGCTGTATTTTACCTGCAAAAGCGCCATTTTGGCGGCTTCCTCGAACAGAGTCGAATGTCGAGTGCTTCCCAGAGAGGTAACACAGGGATCCCGAAATAATAAACCTTTTAGTATTCTTTTGAAAATTTTTATATAAAAAGTATAGTGAACAAGAATTGTTATTTTGTCTTGAGAGACAATATTTGAGCCATTTTATAAGAAAATAAGCAAAGAGAAGTGATTTTTATGTCGTAAATATGAAATCCAGATGGGTTTCCTGTGTGGTTTAGTCTCGCTACCATGTTGTACATTTGTACCCAAATATGGCTTTTTGATTGACAGCTTGCGTAATGGCGGCCACCAGTCACGCAAAGAACGCACCGCGCACTCGAAGAGCAAAGCCAACACTGACGGCCATTTTCTTTTGTTTCGTGTCTAAGAGTAGAGAAGCRTTTTAAACTTATTTTACCTCATTTCTAAGGATTTAGGAGTAAAATAATTCATCGGAAAGGTCTTGTGATGTCAACAACGATCGACCAGGTAAACTTTTAGCGAAATTTGTGAACTTTTTCGAGAGATATCGTCGGAAATAGTTGAGTTATGAGCTTGTTGATCTGAACTAATAATTCCGTCTTCTTTGCACTTTCGTTTTGTCTTCAACATAAAACCATCACTTCGCAGAGGCCTAAAGACCATAACAGTAAAGGTAAGTTGCCCTAAAACACTTGATGTGACTATTTTTCGATAACCAATTTGTTTGAGTGTCGACATTCGAAGAGTCCAATATTCGAGTAACTTTCCCTCGCTTGTTTCACGCATGTAGGTTACATCTCGAAGAACGGCGAAATTCAAGCCGGAGATCTCAGTAAATACATCGGTTCTTCATCAAAACAGGTAAGCAATGCCTTTTYGTGTCTGAATTTTGCATTTATACGAATATTTCAAGTAAATTTTTCTAATGGTTGCAATGTTTGTATCCTTTTTCGCACATGTGCCCGCGTCTGATGTTTGTTCATTGGAACCCAAGCTGGATGAAAACGCTTTGAATTCACATCCGAGGGACAATCATTTGCCTAGTTCGCTTGCTGGCGAAGCTTACTTGCCTCCGTATTATACTTCTACTTCGTCAAGCACTGGACTGCCAGCAATGCCGTTTCCGTATTTAAACACGGGCATTGGCGATGGCACATGGTCTTCGCCAACACTGAACCCGAACACTTTATTCCCTTCATCGGGCTACAGTGTCAGCAATGGCGGTGAACAATTGCTACCAGATCAGATGTTTAGTCATACAAATGGAGTTGCTGTTTCAAATGCGTTTATGGGAAATATGAACCATAATACTTCAAGCAATGTATTTTTGACCCAGGGGGCTCCAGCGCTGTATTTTCCCGGAAGCTCGACCGACATCCCATGGGGAGAACAAGCCCAGCCAACTGCTGGRGCACAGTTGCTGCAAAACTTTTACCAACCACCCCCACCCCCAGTGTCTGAGACTTTGAACCCAATTGGAGTCGGAATCAATGCTAAAGATTATGGGACTGTAAGTGTTGAGAAAGCATTGTCCAATTTGAGTGTTTCTGTTGATCATGAGAACGGTCCTGTWGATGTAAAACAGGGCTCCCTTCGTGGAAATGGACAGTCTGTTTCTGATAATAAGCCAAAATCATGGGCTGCTATAGCAAGCCAGCCAGCAAAACCAAAGCCKCCTGCTCCTAAACCAAAGCAAGTCCAACAAGTGCAACCTTCCATTGGCATTGCCAAAGCAGATCCACCCTCATGGGGGAATGTTGTTAAGGCAAATGCTAACAAACCCATGGTTGGGCGGGGTGCACAGCGCCCTCGTACTGGTAATACTGGACAGAATTCTAGCCAAGCAACCTCTGGCGAGTCATTGCCAGTCCTGGACAGACTCAAAACAAAATGGAATTACAACAACAAGGACAATCCCTTGCTGTTGAACAGTAATGCTCGTTTCTTCATCATTAAGAGCTACAGTGAGGATGATATTCACCGTTCTATTAAGTATAGTGTGTGGACCAGCACTGAGCATGGGAACCGTCGTCTTAACGAGGCTTTTAAGGAGCAATCAAAGAGTGGCCCTATCTACCTTATTTTTAGTGTAAATGGTAGTGGACATTTTTGCGGGATTGCACAAATGATGTCAGATGTTGATTTTGATATTGAAACTGGCATTTGGTCTCAAGACAAATGGAAAGGCAAGTTTGATGTGAAATGGTTCTACGTAAAGGATGTTCCAAATAATGCATTGCGTCATATTCGTTTGGAGAATAATGACAATAAGCCRGTGACTAATTCACGGGACACCCAGGAAATTCCGCCAGACAAGGCTCGTCAAGTTGTGAAAATCATTCAATCTTATAAGCACCAGACATCAATTTTCGATGACTTTGCTCACTAYGAGAAGCGTGAAGATGAGGAAATCAAGAAGGTAGGATTGAACTCAAATATTCACTAATAATTTAAGTGTTGATTATTAAAGCCTTACTACTATGTAGTAATAATGTATTGCTTTTAAGTTAAATCGGAATATTGGAAATGGAAAATAGCTTGAGAAATCTTGTTGCTTCAACATCCAGATTCAGACTGGCTTTAATAGACATGCTTATAGATACTGCTTTTGAAACCCAGTGAACYTTCTGCTGTAGAGGATGACAATCCTCACAGCCTATAGTGTACATGCAGTGTGCACAGTTCAACATTTTCTTGACATAAACAAATATATTTTGATGTACACATTGTTTTTTGGGAAAAAAAACATGTGTTCATCAAAATATTTGTCCACTCATTTTGAATATGTTTTTAATCTAAAGAAATTACATTTGTTTTCCAATGTATKTCATTTCTTTATTTTGAATATCAGCACTTGTACAGTAGCTATATCTAAATTTATTATTTCCAAATTGACTTTTAGTTTACTATGTGCAATTTTCTGCTAGAAACACTTTAAGTTAATGTTCTCCCCTCATTTTTGCTGTAATAGAAATTCTAGGCTGTACATTGCACATGTACAGTAGCTTTTCCTACATTTAAATATGATTTTAACAGGTGGTTAATGTACAAAAAAGAAAAAAAAAATGACAGGATGACAGGACTTTTCTAGAATAGTACAATGTGCAATATGCTTGCCAGCTTTTATTGGGGAATTTCAATATTACACTAAAGGTTGCCAGTGAAAAAACTTGTATCCAGTTCCAAAGATTATAATTTTAAACAAATTAGCACTGTTGACAATGGAATTCCTTAGTCATTAGTTTTATCATGGTTTTTTTTTTATCTAGGTGCATTCACTGTACAATGTTATTTTTAATTCATGTGAAAAAATTTAGTCAAAGCTTATAAATTATGATTTAAGGAACATTCTATCATTCTTGTGAAAATTGACAATACAGAATAATTTTGAAATGTTGATAAGGATAAACTTTCTAAAAGACAGTATGCTAAATACTCAACAGTTATAAGYAACATGAAAGAGAATCAATAGATAGAATTTTTATCGAAGTAGTTATTCATGTACAGAAGAACACCATGTGGTTATTAACCTAATTTCCATTTAGATTCTACATTTAAATTCAAGCAGKCACATGCAAGACTCCCCCAAAAATAGAAAGCCAAAGTCATTTGCAATATTTTATTAACTTACTATACTACACATACAAAAACAAAAAGACAATTATGTAATATATGCTAATTATAAAGAAAAAAATGACCTTAAAGCTATAACAGCTGTATTTGAAGATATGAATGCAAATAATTCAAACCAGCTAAGGCTTTAAAGCCTGTTCAAACAAAAAAATTCAAGTCAACCAACACCATCCAACATTTGTGATAAATAAATTATTGGATGGYCRAAYTGTATTAGCAATGCAAAGGATTGTATGTGTATGATATTATGTCAGAGTTAATTTATGTATGCAAACATCGATTGAATTATTTACATATTTGTTTGATCTTCAGGGCAACAAGAAACTCATTGGAGTGAAAGAGCCTTGAGGGGACTTCCCACTTGATTATTGGATTTCAGTGACTTTTTGAACTCATTCGAGTAATTATTAATGTAGACATGTTTAACCTGGGGTTAGAGGAAACCATGGATTCTTTTAGTATGATACGTATGTATGCAGCTAGTTGTATTGTTTTGAGGCAGATGGTCTTCCCTTTCATCCCTTTATTTCCCATTTTCCATTTCTTTTCCATGCTTTTTTGACCTCAAATTGGTAATCTCATCAAAAACTATTCATCAAACTGGTAGTAGATTTAGCTGTTCAGTGGGATTTTGCAAGTGCATTTACATAGSAAATGTTTGTAGCGAAAATCTGCTTCAACTCCAAGCAAATCCTGGAACTTTTATGTTTAGAACTTATGTTCTTGCAATGACCCTACTTAAATCATGTTACCATGTTGCTAAATCTTACCAAGAAAGCATGTTTCTTTGTTTTGTTTGTGACATGACAACCTTCCACAAAATATTTCATTTGCTTCTGTGTGCTTTCAAAGAAACCAAATGCCTCAATACATGTTAGTAGTGATTTTAGATAGATATCATATGACATGCCACAAGTAATGGCAGATGATCAAACTCAATAAACATTTTACTGGAATATAACGTGTTCTTACTGTTCAATATTGTTAGGACTCTCTAGGCTGCGTCATTGCCACCATGTTGGATGACAATAACAAAGCATCCCTTTTCTGTTTTGATTGTTCAGTCATCCAATGTGACCCTGATAGATTTGTTATTTTTAAATTTCTCTAGGGATTCTTGATGATGTGGTTTTGAGGCTGAAGGCAAAAAACCTCCCTTCCCCCCTCCCTCTAATCATGCCTTTGTAACAACACAGAAAAAAACAGAATGCATTGCCTTCAGAGGAGCCTACAAAGGAGTGAGGTTTCCATGTGAGGTTTCCATGGCTGCAGGCTCCAAGGTTATCATCCTTCAACCCAGAGGAAAGGCTCTCTGCTAAAGATACAATGTAGCATAATAAGCTGAGACCCAAGGAAAGTGAAGTGAACTTTTTAATGAAATGAATGGTACAAAAAATTTCAATAAAAAGCTAAGTTTTCAATAGGTGGGTTTTTCTCTTGGCATTGAACCTGCCTTMCCATATTTAGCTTCCACTGGAGACAACTCACGAGTCTCCGTTTTCTTAAGATCATATTCCCTAAAACAGTGCAGAAAATCTAACTTCATGGGCAAAATCCTCTTAAGAAACAAAAACCTTAACAGATAGGACACTATCAAAATACCAGCAAAAGAACAGACCATGGCAAGAGTACGGAACGGAAACCGTTGACCATCTTTATCGGTGTAGTAAGGATACTTAATCACCACAGGGATCCCAAGCGACATTTCACCGCCAAGAACACGGAGAACRATTCCAAGAACAAAGCCGAAAAACGATCCATATGTGTTGGTGTTAGCAAAGTAGATAACGCAACACAGCTGTGGGAATAGCGTGACATAAACAGCATCACTGCACAAATACCAAAGTGTGTACACTGAATCGACTGTTAAGGCCATAACGGTTGCTATGGCACCGACTATGAATATAGCAACACGCATTACCCATAATATCTCACGGCTTGATGCCTAAAAACAGATGTAAAACATCAATGTATGGGTTAACTGTACATTTGGCGGAAAAGGTCTTTGAAGTTGCAAATAAAATGTCTGCCATTTTGATTCTGAAGGACGTCTGTATAACTAGCCTCCTCCGCAGACAATCACGTAGAGTCACTGGCTTCCTGTCTTTTCGGGGATTCAAACGAGGGAGAATGGGGGCGAGTGAGGGGAGGCGTGTTTCCTTTCTCGTCACTAGTCCCTAGCTGCCAAGATTACCGATACAAAGGAAGCCCAAAGTTGGAAACTAGAGTTGCCTGGGGAGAAGCCTACTAGATGACATTAGTTTCCAGTTCGGACGAAGCGTACTTACTTTTTGTCTAAAGATCGAGCGATAGATGTTGTGCGAGAACATGGTGGATGCAGACAGGATACTTGAGTCTGCAGACGACATGACAGCGGCAGACACGGCACCAAGACCAAAGAATGAGATATATTCAGGTGTAAGATGGCGAAGCACCATGGGTAATACCAACACGCCTTCCGGTTTGATTGGTGACGTTGCGTTGGTTCCATTAGCAGGAGCGANCGTATGTGAACTTGCTGCTGTAAATCATTTGATTAATAACTATGTAGCGCGCTACAAGACGTCTGCCATAGTGATTCTCCGTCGTAGGACGAGAGTAACCACAAAAAACAGATGCAATCACTTAGGAGTAATAACATTCCGATGAGAATCGCAAAAAACATTTGTAAAAACATGGAACTGAAATGCATTGTTTTTGCTATCTATTGCTGTGAATTCCCACAATGCTTATCGGTCCCAGATGGAATATTCCGAGATGGTCAACGCTGTTGAAGCAGCTGTTTTGACTTACCAATAGTAAGGCAAAGTCAAYCCATGGTCCATAGTTCYCAGGCCATTTACCAACCCACGTTTCCGAAGTGTCAGAAATATTAGAGACGGCGTCATTGACCAAAGCGAATGGAAGGCTAAGCCACTGTTGAAAACCAACAAAATCATGAATTACAAACGCGAATTTCAAAGTGCTGTCTCATGGTTAATGCAGCGAAATACAAGCAAGAAAATCCCTGAACATGTCSTGCAACATCGTTGCTGTTCAAGTTTGGCGTAGTCTTTAATTCCTCATATCCTACTCGAACTTGTCCAATAATTGTATATACTTCGCTTACCAGTCCATTAAATATACATACCAGCTGAATGACGTCAGTATAAGTGACCGAATATAGCCCTCCAATCAAGGTATAATTGGCTATATTCAATAATTGTCTATATTTCACTTACCAGTCCAATAAATATACATATCAGCTGAATGACGTCAGTATAAGCGACCGAATATAGCCCTCCAATCAAWGTATAAAACACAGCRATACAAGCAGACACTATGACTGACAGCTCTTTATTCAGATTAATCACGACGCTGACTGTTGCGCCAAGTGCTGAAAGGATGGCTCCGCTCCAAAAGATCTCTCCGAGAAGAGCGGGAAGGTAAAGTAGTCCACCCATTCTAATCCCGTACTTCTGTTGGAATGGATCGAGCATCGTTATGTATTCTTTACTGCGCATGATTTTAGCAAAGGCTAAACCACCTGTTGAAAGAGCAATCGATTGAGAGATTGGATGGTTGTCTTACTTGTTAATCGTCGTAATTGATAGATTGACTTATATAGTCTCTTTCACGGTTACCTGCGCCATCTTGAAAGGTAGACGTGCCTTTACATCGAAGCGAGACGACCGTTGAGCGTTCAATAGATATCTGTGAATAATTGTCTGTAGTTGTGAAAGAAGGTTTCTATCATTGTACGCTCAACGGTCGTCTCACTTGGATGCAAAAGATTGGCTACCTTTCAAGATGGCGCAGGGAACCGTGAAGAAGACTATTGCTCTCCTGTTCATATTTCATTAACGGCTTTATTTTTTTAAAAAGGTTGCTTAAATGATTGATTGTTCATATGATTGATAAGTTGATTAATGAATAAAAGAATTGAAAAAAAAAAAGATTAACTCAGAGGTACAGACGCATGATAACACGTTACTTACCGATGACTAAGCTTAGTGCATATCCCCAGGGAGCCTGGGACCAAACAAGTCCGCTGACATATACAGCTTCTGCRGTACCATTGATGTATCCACCACCAACCCAAGTTGCTGAAGAATTAACAGTGAAATATAGTGAGGACTTACAAATGAACCT